ACGACTAAAGTACAAGTTCTTAAGAAAACCTCCGCTCAATGTAATAGCAGTTGAGATTAATCGAACTATGTGACTTTTAATAATGACAAATCTCGTTTGTTAACTTCTCGCAAGTAATAAAAGCGAGACTACGTCTGGGTTTTTTCATATATTATTAATTAAAAAGTTATCGTTCGAACAAAAAAATAATAATTTCATAGACTTTATAATTGTATTTCAAATTGGAATATGCAAAAAGTGTTTACGCTAATCAAATAGAGTGTTATAACCTTTCACATCTAATTTTTGGATTGTGAATTCGAGGCACATCTGTAGTGGGAAAATAACTGGGCGAGTTAAAGGACGGACGTCAACGTGAAAAAGTTTCGGAATAATCAACAGTGACTTGACCGGACCTAAAAAAAACGTGATGTGCACATTTGCATGTCGAAATTCAAAGTTTGAACAAAATTCTGTTCCTATTTTAACAAAAGTATTTATTGTTACAGTTTAAAACGTATACATATTTTGTGATTATAATCATATTTTTGTAAAATTTCATATTTTAGTTATGTACTATCAAAATTAACTAGACTATTTCTGGATTTTGTCAGTACTTTATTTAATAAATTTATGAACATTGTTAGTTTATTTAATGAATATTTGCAAATTTTTACTGTAATGTATTATATTAATTACACTTGGTAGCTGAAGTGAAGCTATCAGAGATGACCTATAAACTTTTCAGGAAGGATAAAGAGCGAGAAAAAAAGAATTGCTGGACGTCATCCAGGCATGAGACAAATCAATATGGATATGGAGTTCGACCTTGCTATTTTTATATTGTCACTGTCAATTTCGTTAATAACAACATTAACATCAAAGGTAATTTGCTTCTATTAAATGTATTTATAAATACACATTGATCCTCATTTTGTTTTTCAAGCGTAACGAAAAATGAATATGTATGAAGCTTGACTTCATTAAGTTCTTTTATATCAACTTTTATGAAGTCATGTACATAAGTTAATGTAATTGAATATTAAATTACTTTGTATTGATTACATCCGAAGTTGAATGAACTCATGATCTCAGCAGCTGCTTTCGTTAAATTATTATTTACTTAATTTAATTAACTTTAAAAGTATACTCGTTTGATTATATAAAATTGCGTGCATTTTATACATTTCTATTATTCGTATATAATTGAAATTGGTGTATATGTTACATTTCAATTTGTAAATTTAACTAATTAATACTAATATTTGAACTAGGTATAATTTTATATAAAAAATATTATTAAATTTCAATTAATATTTAAAAACGATTTAATTTGAAAATAAAACTAAATTAGTACACAAAATTATATATTTTCCTCGATTAGTCCGGTTTTCCAATTTCAAAATCGATTACCCACACTATGCTGTATACTTTTGAAGTTTGTTTATATACTTGTAACATATTCTTTATTTATTCTAGGACGTATACAAAAAGAAGACGTAGGGTAAATAAAACCAAATTGTTGCATGTCACATTGAGACTGACTCCTACTTCCTGCCCTGAACGACACCTTGGAAATGTCAGATACAAGAAAAAGGTTGGCTCCCTTTGAAATTACATTCAGGAAATTCTACTGAATGTTTCGTGAAAACTTGCAAGAATCCAAAGACTCCAAACAATGAATTCTAAGTATGCCCTAAACATTAACTATATTTGTATCTTCGGATAACAATTATAGAAATTAATGAACTATAAAGAAAAGAAAAAATTACAACACACCCATTTTATAATGATTTTGTTGAAATGAAAATAGTTATTTTTTTTGTAAAGCAATCCATGCATTAAATATATATATATATAGTCGAATGTCAGGTGTTGTGCAAATGCTGAATGAATAGTTTTTGATGAAATTTCGTGCGTCTGGCGATGGCTTCAAACCGCATACACGTCAATCAAAAAAGAGAACTGGCGTGTGTTTTCCCCCTAGTAAATTAACCTCACTGATGGTGAGTGCATTTGGCAATAGAAAGCTTCTATATTTCATCAATGTTAATTACGTACTGTTTCGAAAATGTTTACTTTTCAATGACAAATCACAGATTTAGTCATCAAAAAAGGAAAGAAATTAAATTCTGTTTCATTAAGAAACATTTCGTTTTATATATTTATTATTTTTTCTTTACTCATACAAAAGTAAATTATATTCGTCTCTTTGATATTTAAATCGAAGACGCTCATTTAAATACCTTTAAAGTATTCCGACTTGTGTGTTTATATCTGATATTTTTTGTTGTTGCTGTTATAGAAATAAATTTAAAAAAATATATGGATCGAACTTCTTATGCAAATATTATGTGAGTCTGCCAAAATATATATTTTATTTGTATTACTTTTCTCTTCTTCCGTTAGTGTCGCAGTGTGACTTTTAGTTCTGTTCGTGGTTCGATACTAGCTAGCTCACGTAATTGAAACATCCTATGACAGTTTAATGGCAGGGAGCCAAGGTTTTATGCATTCCTGAGAGTGTTCTCAGATACATCAGAAATGTATTAAGGAAAACTTTTTTTTAAACCTACTAAAGTACCTAAATGCACGTTAAATTTAAACATTGTATTTAAACTTACTAATTTATTATAAGAAAATATATAAAACTTGATTAGATCAATCGCTTATGCAACTTAAAAGTCCATTGTCCCAGAATATCTTAAGTGTTATTTTTTTTGATGTTAAGAGAATTTTTCAAAAACCTGAATAGAAGTTGCAATAGAAGTGAATGCGGAAGGTTGGCTTTCACATCCAAGCCTTTTATAGGGTTTAATATCTTAATTTCATAATTATCAGTAAAATATAAGATTTATAAAGAAAATGTTTACATTGATTTCTAACAGTTCCTTCGCTATTTTTCAGTAGTAAATATTGAAGAAATACTAAAAACTATGTTTCTTTTATTATAATTCAGAATCCGACTATAAATAAATGTATCCTTACTATGTCTATAAAAAAATGTCACCTTTCAAAATATGTACACAAATAACTTAACAATTCTGATAAATTTAAATATGTTATAAGACAATATTGTGTTTTCATTTCAATTTAAAATCTAATTGTAGATTGGCGAGTTTAGGCATTCACTTTATAATAATTTCATGTTTCGGAATTGATCCTTCTCATGAATTACTAAATCCATCACACCCTCATCTGCATTGAAAAATGTATAGTCGAATGCAGGTCAAGTCCCCATTGTCGTGGGCTTAAAATCAATTGAATTTTCTGAATCTCGCTTTAAACCAAATTAGTAAACGAATTTGCATATAATTCTACTATCCAATATACATATAATCCACAGGCGCATCCACCACTTATACAAAATCAATACACACCACTTAGCGCACAATGAGCTGATCATATTACGTTCTACAGAATGCTATAATCTGCTAAATTCGATTGTCATGTTATAATTTTGGATAACTTATTGATGTTTCTATTTGATAAATCGAAAAGCAAAATCCATTTGAAATTTATGTATTTTACAATGAACAACAATATTTCATTTCACCTGCATAATTTTTACCAAAAAGTATCATCATCGTCTAATGTCTATTACTCTCTTATCTTGTGTTCGAATCTCACTCTTTTCTTGTCCCAATAAGTATTCTTTAAACGTTCAAATCAGCTGTGATTCATTGTTTTTTTTTAGACGATTGTGTGAAATTATGATATGATTCAATTATATAATCAATTCAAATAATTGGAATTGGGTTAATCCGGCTACAGAATTAGTAATACTTTTTCGATCAGTATAATTCTATACATATGTGATATCAAAATAGCTATAACAGGAATTATAACGTAGTTTCAAATTAATTTCAAAATTATTAATTATAATAAGCTTTGTTATTGGTTTACATCAAAACTGATATTTAAAATAACTATGTTTATACTTATTATTATATATATTTGATACGAGGTTTTAATACTAAACAGCTACCACGATTTATTTTGTAATTTATTGAATTATTGCTGTAATCACCATTTGAGCTGCTTAACTTTCATAAGATGTAGAACATCAAAATTCTGATGGATTCTTGATTATTATTATTTACCTGTAGAGTAGAACTTCGGTTTTCAAACGTCAGGTTTAAAACAAACAACACTACAGTTTCAGAACAAATTGTTGTAAATAAGAAATCGTTAAAAGGTTTCGAGTTTTCGGATTGCACAATTAGTTTCAAAAACATATTTCAAAATTGATAAATCCATTTCACTATTTATAATAGTGTCTGGTAGCCTTTGTCATCTTAAGATACAATAGAATAGCACTCACGTAGAACGGAAATGATTTGCTAGAGTAACTAGTCTTGTCACCATACGTAGTTACACAATACATATAGCTGAAGGACCTTTCAGTCGATGATCAATTTGGACGAAAACCTCTCAATAATTATAGATTTTATTACACAGTAGTGGTAACTTTGTGGCAGATTTCATGAATTTGTAATAATTCCTTTTTTTATATAAACAGTAATTGGAATTGACCAATTGTAAATATTAAATATTGAAACAACAGCGGTGGTCGCAATGTTTGTTTTAGCAGAATTAATGAAATTATAGGTGCATTTCCCGTTTTCGAATATTATAAATGCATTAATTAAACAAAACTAATGGAATTCCGAAAAGTAATAAATAAATCAATCAAAAAAGATATATCCTTTAAGTATGATTAATGTTCTTCTCTATTTAATACTGTAGTAAATAACTATTGCCGGTAATTTGAATTAACAATTATTAATTAACGAACTTTTTTCTAATAATTAATATCATCTGTATTTGTAAATCGTTTATAGTTTAACATAACTATTTTCTAGTGACAATGGAAACTGCGCATCAAAAGCCGTAATAGTACAATGATTTCAAACATAGTTTCAAGTAAGTTTTATCTATGTAATAGTTGTATCTGTATTTGCTACGTGAAACGAAAATTATTAAACTTCTTGTAAATCGTTTAAAGTTGATATTCTTACCGGAGGTGATGTTAAAATTAATATAGCGGAGCTTAAGTTCTTCAAGTTGAGGGTGTTCTTATCTTCCTCGTCGAGATCATCATGGCTGGGAATCTGAATGGAGCTCTGCCGAGTCGCTAAGGACCTTTTGAGCGCACCATTAGGCACCACGTGTGAAGAGGATCTTCTGAAGGGACATGCCATGATAATGCTGCTACTTGTCTACTCTCTCAGATGGACTTCATTATTTTCGTAGAAGAAGAAAAAAAAATAGTTTGCAAAAATTTTTACGTTCGGATCAAAATTTTAGAAACAGGAAACGTGTCGAATAGTTCGTGAACAGCGGACGGCGGCGGATGCAACGTAACGGCGTCGCGACGCGTGTTGAACTGAAGGCGCTGTTTTGGGGCCCAAACGTAATCTTCGTACGCCAGCGCAGTCACCATCAAATGGAGAAAAATCAAATGATTTCTTCTCAGTATTTATTTCCATCCACGAACTCTGTTGTTGATAGTCATACATCATCTCACAAATATTAATTATAAAATCTCTTTCAATTAGCCTCATTAAATTGTATAACAAACAGTAACAACCCTTTGACTTTACCTCATATTATATGTCAGGGAAAATTCGGTGGAAGTGTTATTAAATTTCCAGAATTTCAATTTATGTATAAAATCTAATAATTATATTTAGTGTATAATATAAAACAATAGTGCGTGTCGCCAAAATGTATCTTCTGGATCCGGAGATTATATAAAATCCCAATATTTCCCGGGAATCGGGAAATTTTATGCCAGCTTGTATCATAAATTGAACGCTTTCTAATTCTGTCCATCTGTCGGCAATGTTCAATAACAGGTTTTAAAACGAGAAACCCGAGAGTTAGGTTTACAAAAAAGTAACTAATTTCCCGGGAAATCCCAGGTACAGCTCACTACATAATAAATAAGACTTAATGACTTTACACTTATCATCAACATTTTTAATTAATTAAAGATATGTATTATGGTTACATTTCTATATTGTAAATAATTATAATAATATCATGTAATTGAAATTGATCATCAAGTACGTATTAAATATTGAACTTCGCAGTTCATAAATGAATATTATTGATACTATTATTGATATCAAGTATGAAAGTAAGTAAGTAAATTTATAACTTCATATCACTTAACATACATCATTTTATTTTATTGTGCGTGTATAATTATTTATAGCTTTCTAACCGAACTAACGTACAAATATCCGTATGAACGTACAATAATGTTAGTCGGCAATATTTGAAGAAGTTGTATTCGCTATAAATAATATATAATATACTCTTTGGACTGAACTGTGAGGTATTGTTATTTGGTGCGCATTGGAATTCGTAATAAACCACAAAATTGAAAAGAATATTAAAAAAAAAATCGACGTACGTGTGGAGCAGTGGAGGCATTTCATTTCAGAGGTGGAACAAAGGGACAGTGCGAGAAATAAAACCAGGATAGAAGGATTATAATCTCTACTGCTCGCTGCTCCGAAATCGCGGGATGACCTTCCACGGAAAATGCAGTAAATTGCCCAGGGTTGAGAGAACTTCCTGAAGTGCGATTGTTGTAGCTTCCACTCCACTATATATATGTGTGTGTGTGTCTGCCATTTTGGTAGAAAGAAAGTTTGAAACAACCGTCCCAGGAAGACGGTTTCCGCACACCGAAAAACCTCCGCTTTTATACAAATGTCTGCACTTGGCAGGTGCTACCAATAATCTCTAAGAAATTTCATAACTCATCCGGCGACCGACCCCTCCCTAAGGAAGCTCCATCTAGACCCATTCAGTCACACAAACTGAATGAAAACTCCGAGCTTCAGATTTATTTTTACAATAATATTTTTACGCTGGTGAAAACGCGACGAGAAACTTTTCAGAAAAATATAAATTTAAAAAATAACTTCTCACATAAAATATATACTTACAGCTATCCATTACCAACAAAAAAAACTTTTAATATTTCTATTTAAATCACTTCAACTTAATTCATTTATCAACTCAAGAAAAGCAATAATTAATTATGTTTTATTTTTTTAAATAAACGCGCACTAAAAGTTTGAATTTACTTCAAAATCTATTACAAAATGTATACAACCTGGAAAGTCGTTAAAAGTGTACACGGCCAGATTGAATTCGCTTTGTAATTTAAAAGGAAGAAAAAGCCTTTTATAGAGCGAGGAGGATGTTTGGAATTAGAAAAAAAAGAAGCAGCAAGCGAGTGAGATGTTGAGAAACTGAAGCAATTCTTTAATGTTCGACTGGAAATACAATGATCCTAAACTAAACTTTATCTTTTAGGTAACTTACACTTAACAATACAGCAATAGTTCGACCACGATAAATGCGGTTTCACTATAATCCGGTTGGAAAATTTCTAAACAAACTAAATTTTAATTGATAAAATAAGAAATAAGTATCTTTTTATGCATTTTTGTTAATCTTCAATATTGGAACATAAACAAATTTCTGAATTATTCATTAAAACATTTCTTGTCTAATATTTAATTGCCAACAAAATTTGACCTGAATAGTGGTTGTGGAATTTCGTTATTCGCAGCACAACGTTCATGGTTCCGTTTAGGTAAATTCCGGTGTCGCACGGCATCCATTCTATATGATTTTAATAAAATGCTAAACAATACAAGTTATGTGCGAGATTAAATTTACGTGAGATTGCGAAAATACCTAGCAAAAATTAAGGTGCACAAAAGACAGCGTGAATTTCGTTTAATTTTATTAATATTTTTTAAGAATAATCAATTGCATAAACATAATTTAATTCCAGTAAAATTTCTATAAAAAAAACTATTCACCGACATAACTTTATTTTCGGCACAAAGAATCGAAAATAAAATTAAAGAAATCCAACAAGTGGTAGAATCGATAAGCTTAATATAAGAAGCGAATGTAGAAAGGCAAGAATTATAATAAATATTGTAGTGTCGTTTTGATTGCTGTTGGAATCGTCTATTGCTAGTAGGATGATGACGCTATTTCATTGTTGTTATTCCAATTATTTCCTACCTTGAAGTTCTTGAAATATCCATCTCCTAATCATTTATTTTGTATATAGTAAAAGCGCTTCATATTACGATTTCAATGCCTTTACAAATTGACGATATTTTACATTCATATTTTTCGATCTCGAAGATTTGCTTTTAAAATTGAGTCTCGATTTCAATTGGTTCATGGTTATGAATAGAAATATTTGATTTTTTCGTATGCAAATTGTTCTTTTCAAACATATAAAACTTCAAAAATTTAATATTATAAATAATTGCAATTCAATTGCAATTTTCGTTTCCATTTTGTGCGAAACAAAATATAAAAAATCTTTAGATAAATTTAGCACACAAATTGCTTTGAGGTTCCTATGGTTACTTGCGTGATTGATTTTACCGTGTCCTATATATAGATACATTTAAAGCAAAAAAAAAACTAGTTTTAATTATAAATAGTGGTTGAAAGAGGGTAGACGTTGGTAAAACCCGAGTCACACAGATCGAATATGTATTGAACTACATATAGTATAAAGTAGAAAAAATACAATAAGTTGAAAACTTTATTATGTTTTCTTAAATATTTGAGTTATATAATTTTGATTACGCGAAATAAAGAGAACAATTACAGCTTGCTATGAAAGAAAAATAATTAAAAAAAAACATCAATCAAACACGGATGTGTATTCCAGCTGTTACCCGGATAAAGCAGAGACTGTTGTCTTGTAGCGTGAAATTTTGTGAATAAAGTCGCTGATCCTGCAAGAGTGTTCTTTGTATTTGTTTTCCAATACTTTCCGAAATAAACCTTTTTCATGCGCTAACCGAATTTGCTTTTATACTTTCAGAATTGAGATTCTTTTTATGATCCGCGAATATTTTATTGTTCAATCAGTTTTCGAAATTTAAGAATTATAGTGAGACCAAGTATAGCAGTTAGGATGCGTTCCTAGACTAAACAAAACAGCGTTAAACTAAGTCACATAAACATATAGTAGGATAATAGAGGAAGTGCTAAACGAGGTTTTCCTGTATTTTCATATTTTAAGCAATCCGAAGGTTAAATAAAGCTGCTATAATCCCTACTTTGGGTTGGTTTTAGAACCAAATTTAAAACATTTGTGATGAATTTGAAATATTTTAGTGACAGAAGTTTGAAATGTTTCGTAGTAACTAGATTATGGTGTCAATCTCATTGCGTTGATTTTTTTTATTTAGCGTAAGTTTTGAATTTCCAACATTTGAATTGGATTTTCTGGAATTAATTCAATTTTAACATACTGACTTTTAACTACAAAACAAATAATAGTTAAAAACTGAACAATCATTATATTTTACTTTAAAAAAAAACTATTGTTTTGCCAGTTATTCATAACTTTATTAATCATGTTATAATTATATTGGTAATAGTATTATTTTATTGTAAAAAGGTTTTCTTATTGTCCTGATTTCACAAATTTAATGTTATTACCTAAATTCTAAGCCTATTTAACACTAATGTAATAAATAGTCTACAGAGTTTACAGCAATTAAATTGTTAATAAATTATATAAAAAAATGTGTACATAATGAATAAAATTTATAATAAATATAACGATCTTGTGAATCGTTTTTGATAATATTAACTGGCAGTTTAATCTAAATGAAAAATGTCGGAGGTAAAGATAACATTTAATATGACAGTTTTGGTAGGGAAATTCACTCATATTTATACAAAAGTTGAAACGTCGCAGAATGACTTGTCTTTGCGATGAAAATCATTACGAACCGCTAGGGTCCGTTATTAACGAGAAAGATGTGACACAGTTTCTAGCTATCAAAGTGAATGCGAAATTGAATTATAAACTTTGGACCAGTAAATTATTGTTAAAAGCCTTGGCCACGAACGGCCGATCGATAAATGATACCCAACCAGTATCGGAAAGCAAAATATGTCAACAGTTCAACTGTGCATTCCATCCAAACTTGTCTAAATAACATTAAATTTTGGTAATTACGAGCGTTCCAGCGAATCCGCACTTCAGTCGTCTGTCGATTCACTTAACTTCAGCACTCAATTCTCCAAGCAAGTACGGAGCAATTTGCTGCCGCGTTTCCTGTTTGTTCAATTACTTATTTCTGGCGCACAAACACTGCAAAATTCGTACAATGCGTTTCGTTTTAATTACGCCATTAAGCCTCGATCAGGGCTTCATAATTAAATTTCGTGTAATCAGTATTAAGCTTCAAATTGGAAACTTTTCCTCGATATTATTCAGAAATGTGCATGTTCACGCTTGTGCTTCCAGCTTCAAGTTGCTTGTGCAAAACAAACGTCGTCCGCGTTAATT